TTGATTTAGTACCTTCTGGTGTTGAGCCCACGAATAGTTGAAATCATGAGAAAAATCAATAGTAAAAAAATATAAAAAGTTATTGTAAATCAGGATTTTCTTTTAAGTTTTAGATATAAAATATAAATGAACTCTATTAAATGGTTGAAAGAAGGACATTTCTCTCAGTTAAATTAGTTTCTTTTATATCCATGGTTTTTAGCAAATAGTTAAGTACCTAATAATAAAGTAATATTCAATTTCTTAATACCAATATAAATTTTGATTTTTGATAATTTAAATTAAAACAGAATTTAACATTTGAGTATAAGATTAATATGATGTGTATATATTTTAAATTAGTGGCGTATAGGGACATTCGTATATTTTAGGGACATTGGGTTATAGATTATTTAATACATTTATAAATTATATTTTTGTTAAGATATTATTTTAAATAGAGGACTAGTAATAGTTTTATGTTTTTTGTAGATTTTCAGTTTACCTTTTTTTATTGTAACGTAAATATGAAATTTATTTAAAAATATTTTATCTTATTCATCACTTGTGACGTTATTTGGCTGTAGAATTTATACTAATATGTATATGTATTTTATTTTTCTTTAAAAAGAATTGAAATTGTTGTTTTTGTTAGAAGTATTTTTATCTTAACTTGCCATATATTTTATGTGTTTTTTTTTAGAAAAAAAATAACAAAAATATAATTATTGCAATTTAAATTTTAAATTGAAATAACCGTCTGTTTTAATCAAACCAATAAATATATGACACCCAATAGATAAAGATAACATAAATTTTAATGCAATAGAAAAAAATGATAAAATATAAATATTTGTTTAACAGTGATTGATAAACCCAACATGGTTTATAAAAGTTTAAAGGGTTTATAATAAATATAACTATGAGTAGGTTTACTCATAATAAAACCAAATATTTTTCTAGTTCAATTCATTATTAAAGTTATGATGTGTTAAGATTTGTTTTTCGGCTTTATAATAGTTGATATTATTGTAACTGTTAAACCATTTTTATATGTTTGAAAATAAGCTACTTATAACATTGTGGTTTGATGAACATTTTAAACTGAATATTTTTACTTTCAATATAAATTATAAATTATCAACTATCTAAGACTTGAAACTTTTTGAACAAAAACACATACAGCCGAAATATATATTGTTTTAGACAATATAATAGTCTGTAAATTCACTTGGGAATTATCGTTGTCGTGTGTTTGACTTCCGTAGCTCGTTTATATGATAAAAAGACAAATCAAGTAAAAACCATACGCCAGTGAATATTTTAAATTATGGAAGTTTTGGAGCCCCGAGCCGAGTTTGGTCTATGGGGATCTTAGCTTTTTCAAGATTCTCTTCAGGGTTTTTTCTTTTTATTTATGTACCTACATTGAAATCAGCGAAGTTGATTTCCCATATTTTCATTAAAAAGAAAATGACCAACTATTATAATTCATGTTATGATATAATATAATATAATATTGTTTACTTTGCACATATTTTTTTGCGATCTTACAATGACATTTAGGTCGTAGATAGATATATATATATATTATCACTTGAACTTATTAAATGCTACACTTATACATTTTTTGTATTACTATAATTGATTATTGTTTTTTTTCAGATTCTCAATAAATGTAGTCATTGTAAACTATCATACATTAAATGTGAGTAACATTATATTATACTTATATATTTATACCTATACAATATGATACATAATAATGTTAGAGCAAATAACAATAAGTAATTTTGTTTATAAAGAAAAAAATCATCAGTCATCACTCATCACTTTTAAGTTTCTAAAAAGTTATAATTAAACAATTTTTTGGATAAAGAAAAAACACAATCTAAAAAGCATATTGAAATAAAAAAAATACAAAAAATAATTCATACATAAGTACAAATGGTTCAGTGAACAACACCCTGTTTTTGAAAAAAAAAATTACCAGACACCTCCTTACGGATATATTATACATATATTTGTTGTTTATATTTGCATTTTCTATACACGATAATATTTTCAAAATATTTTGATTTATTTTGAACTGTTTAGGGACATTTTCATTTTTCATTTTTTTTTAGTTTTTTTTCTAGAAATATCAATAAAATTTTATTTGTTGGTTAAAAAAACTTGAAAATTTAATAGAAGGCTCTTATAGTATATTGTTTCAAAGGCAGATGAAAAATATTAAAAATCGTTAGTCACAGTTTTTTTTTATAAGCATTTAAAGTTCAAAAATTGACAAAATATGGAAAAATCACGAGAATTAGCAAATTATTTTGGGTTAAGAATTCGTAAAAATTTTTCTTTTTAAATCTAAGATTTGAAAATGTAGTACAAGATTCCTTATAAGATTATCTACCTTTATCAAAAAAAAAAATGTCTATAAGAAAGTCAAATTAAATTTTTATGAGCGTTTGAAATTCAAATTTTTACAACATTGGATATTCACTCGATTTCTCATGTAGCGATTTCCTTATTTTGTTGTAATTCAAAAACGAATAACTGTATATACATGGAAATTTCACTAAATGTTTATATTAGCATTTACTATACCCAATACAGTTTTGAAAATATTTTGAATCTTTTTGGGGTGTTACGGACATTTTAAGTTTTCAATTTTTTTAGTTTTTTTTTCTATAAATATCAATAAAGTTTTTTCTGTTGGGCCAAAAAGTGTAAAAATGTAATTCAAGGCTCCTGATATATTGTTACAATATCAGTTGAAAAATATTAAAAATTCATTGGCCCAGTTTTTTTTTATAAGCATTTAAAGATCGAATTTTGACAAAATTTATCAATCATTGTAATTAATAAATTATAAAATGTTCAGTTTTTATAGCTAAGGATTTCAAATTCAAAACAAAGGTTCTCATAAATAGTTCATACTGTAACCAAAAAATCTAAAAAATATATGAACACAGTTATTTTTTACAGACATTTTAAATTCAAATTTGGACGAAATTACATATTAAAAAGCCTAGAATAACTTAACTATTTTAGTTATTTTGTTGTGATTGAATAATATTATTCGTGGGTACTTGAAACTTCTACTTGTATCACGGTTTTTGTTGATGTATAACGCGTTATAAGTACCTAATGGATATTGTGATATGATTAATTTGGAATTTATTATAGGTACCTATTAAAGGTCAATTTTTTGTTTGATACCATAGATATGTATATAATATGTCTTATACATAGACCGACATACTGTCTCCGCTCAGAACCGTTTTTCTTATACAATGATATTATATCGTTGAATTCAAATTTAATATCATCCATTATACAGTGACCCACTTGTAACCTACTGTACAGCAGAGCGACACCCACTTGCCCACCTTTTTTTTATTTGCGCTTTACCATTTTAAAACCCAAATATGTATTTTTTCCGTTTCAACGCGTTGAAAGCAGTCATGACTCTAATTGCAAATGTACCACAGATAGGCTATACCTGGTATACGGTATGACTTTAGTAATTTAATATATTATATTCTTATGCTCAGCGCTTGGCGTTTTGTTCTATTCTAGTTTATACGACAGTTTATTGAATTTATAGAACCAAATCATATTTTATTTTTAATGCAATATAGACGATATGAAAGTATGCATATGATTTTACGACTATTATTGATTAAATAAACAGAATATAATATATAAATGAATATATTATTTTAAATACTTACCTTTATTGGTACTTATAGTTTTTAATAATATTGAATTCAATATTAACATATAAATTATTATAATTGAACGATTCTCTCCATAAGCTCCATACATTTTAATCAGTTACGGATTGAAATAAACTCGTTAATAGACTCCGGCTTATCTTGTTATAGTTATAGCCTGTGCAGTTTGATATTGATTCTAATTAATTAAAATTATATATTGTTGATATACCTAATGAAACAAAACTAATACGAGATAAATACGGGTTAATATAATCATGATTTTATTAAAACCTACGCTTGTAAGTCAGCTATTTATTTTTTGGATTATGAATACCAAACGGTAGTAAATAATAATTTAGTAAAGAAACATAATATCTACTATTCGTCTTTCTTCTATTGTAATTCTAAAAAATGTATGATTTTATGTTTATGACAGTTTCATTATGTTACGAATTAATTTACAATTTGTATTAATTTGTCGGCCGGCGGCCTATGTAGAGCTATTCTCACTCTGTATGAGGTGTTGGCGTGTTGTATGGGTGGTATTGTGGTTAATGTATGCTAGCCATATTCATTGTGGGTTTTTACTGTAAGATAGAGTGTGTTGAAGGGATATCGATAGTCCTAATGCTTCTCCTTGAAGAGGAGGAGTGTTTATGAAACTGAGGAGGTATAAGTTTGTTACCAAGTAGTGGGCGCCGCCTGTCATAGTACGTAATGTCATAATGAAACATTTTGGAAGGCCTCGATCCTGGTCCACGTACTCTGACCAATTAGGTGTCTCCAGATTGATGCTACATATACTACGATAGGTTTTAGTATATTTATATATTGACAATCTGACTAGTAATGGGACCGAACTGTTATGATTCAGTACGGGATACAGTGCCACCCGGCTCCACGAATTTTTTGAATGATAGTTCTAATATGTTGTTCAAATCATAGGTTATAGTTAAAGGTCACTCCAAGGTATTTACGTAGTGGCTCCATTCCAGGTACTGATTTTGTTGCTGAGCTTTATGTTGTAATTTTGAGAATGAGGCCCAAAGATTACTGCTAACGGTGTCTAAGAGACGTTTAGTTGGATTCTCCACTTGGCAAACCAGTCTGTTGTGGATTTAATTGACGTTGCAAGGCTACTACTGCTTATTTTTAGTTACGGTTACTTGCTTTCTAGAGGTTGTCATCAACAAATAGGGCTACTGTGACTGATATTAGTGTAGGGGTGTTATATAGACCAAGTACAGGAGCGGTGACAAGCAAGCTCCTAAGGGACACCAGGTTCAGGTCACCGTCGATAATGAACTAGATACTGTGGAGCTCTGTTGGAGTATTTACGTGATGGTGAACTATTTCATGACGAATCGGTACTGCAGTTCTCCCGTTCGGTAGTTGCCTTAGTTGTGGTTGGCGGTCATTTCGATATACTTGGAAATTTGGAATTTTGAGCTCTGTTTTTGGAGCAAGACGAGTTTCATCAAGCTGAATTATGTTTGTATTGTCGAGTTCAACACATTTTGTTAGTTCTTGTTTCTTATGTGTGATACCATTGCAGTTCAAAGACATGATTTATAGGTTAGACATAGTGGTTTTCAGGGATGATGTTAAGAATTGACATGACTGTGTTTATAATTGCTTCTCTAGCATTAACGTCCGGACATTTTTGGAGGATGGCAAGTAGTTTGATGATGTTCAGTATATGTATCACTGAAAATGCAAGTACTGTGGGAGATGTGGGGTATGTTTTTAGGATGTCTGAGTAAGGGTTTAAGGTTGCTTGAGAAAGAGAAGGTGTTTGTGGTGACTGTGATACGATGTAAGGAGTGGATCGGAAGTTTTGGTGACTAAAATTTTTAGTACACATGCTGTTGAGTATGGGTTTTGGTTCGTGTTTTTCGATATAGAGGGGTATCCTTGTTAGTTAGTAGTGTGCTCACCACCGCAGTTGCAATAATAGGTTTTGTCGGTGTTAGGTTTGGAGCACTATTTGGTGGGGTGCTCTTTACCATATTTGACTCATCTTGGGGTTAGGTTACAGTTTAGCAGCGAGTCTCCAACATTTTGACAGTTAAGCATTGTAACGGCCCAGAATTATTATAAGGTTAAATTTTAACCCTTACACAAAAAATATCACCAATAGGGTAAATGTCCTTTCAATTTTCTGTCATTTTTATGGAGACTATGTGTATGGGGATTCGTTTTCCGTTTTTCAGAAAACCTCTAATGAGTTGTGGCGTGAGTAGCCTACCTAGCATTGTAAGTTCATTTGATAATTCAATATCGGAGATATATAGAGGGACTTCTTTGATGACTTTTTCAATGATCTTTATTATTTTTTCCGAAAAGAAAAAGGAATCCATGGTCGCCCCAAGCACCACCGCCAATATCGGCTTATTTAACTAAGCCTGGCCGGCATTTGTCAACGATTTACTCATCCATTAATGTACATATTATAACATTCTAAGTATTGGAAATAGAAAAAGTGATTATCATCAATATAAGACTCTCGGCTCTCTATAGCAATTATGTAAAAGAATATTCATTAAACTGATTTAATATAATAATTTATGGTTTTAACGTCAAAGTATGAAGTTATTTTCATGATAATTTGAATTGACGAAGTTTTCATCATACTAGACATCTAATAGCTGAAGCTTATTATAAATGTATATACAGACAATATTTAATAATATAGTATTCTATATCTATTATAATTTATAAGGCCAACAAACTTCGAAAATTTGGAATAGTGTATGAAGTATTTTTTAACTATAAACGTGAAATAAGAGGTGTTTATCCATGACAATGTGACACTCACATAATATTATTATGTTAACAATAATATCAATACTAATTAATAATGACAAAAAAAGTATTGAAAAAACATTCAAATTCATAAATTGAAATATTTTTTTAACGTGTATTTAAATATAAAGAATAAAAATAATTTATACAAAGAATTAAAATGATGACTTTTGTTTTAATATTTCACGAATATAATATATGTACCTATATTCAAATTAATAATGAAATGTCCAATACCAAATATTTTTGGTAATTATAAGTTTGAAATAACATAATACTATTATTTATCATTCTTTTTTGTTCAAAACATTTTATTTAAACATCCCCAATCCTAACTTAAAAACTCATAATATTATAATCTGTACTATTGATTAATGATTATTTATTTCAAGTAAGTACACTCAGAGATAGATCTCTACTTATTTATCAATATTTGTGTGCTTGGTGATGTGAAATTGACATGAAATGTTGTGCCAGTATTATACTTGTATATTATCTTTGAATATATTATGCAGAAATTTATTTCAATTTAGTTATCTTCATGAATAAAACAACATAATATCCTTCTTTATTCTAGTACATAATTTAAAACAAATTTACTCAAACTTAAGATAGGTACTTAGTAATTTAATGTGTATATTTTATTTTAACATTTCAAAAATAAATTCCTTTGTACATTCTGTCGTTTATGAATATTTTTAGGGATTTATAGTTCATCAGCTTTCTGTATGTATATTTTTTGAACAGGTTTCAAAAAAATGTTCATTAAATTTGGATGAAATGTTTAATACTGTTTAGTGGCTTACAGTTCTTTTAAAATATATTTACTTAATTTAAATATGTTTTTAATCAAACATAAATAATAGTGAATATTTTGCTCAGTTATAAAGAAAAGTATTGGAAAAAAATTAATTAATTTCTATAATGACCTAATAAATAAAAAATTTAATTTAAAAAAAATCTTTAAACATATTTATTCTCACATATGCAGTAAAAATTAATCAGCAATATTATTTTAACATAATTGTCTTTAAACTTGTGCTATAATTATAAACACATATATATATATATATATATATATAGTAAAACTATAAACAAATACAATTATAAAAATAAAATTCATGTACAAAATTAAAAAGAAAAATACAGTTGTGTATTTCTTATAATCTAATATCTATAACACAGGAATAAATAAGTAATTAGTATAATCATTTTTCACTCTAACATAGCTATGCATTTAACAATGTATAGTGAGTAGTGACATGGCGAGGAGATTTTGTTAGTTTATAGTTAATGATCTAAGAAAATATGAATCAATGCCATATTGCTGTACTGTGAGATAACAAATACACGGAAAACAAATCTTTTGTACAGAAATAAGGTGGAATATGGAAACCAATTTGAGCCAATATATCAGTACAAACAGCGCAATGCATAAAACACGAATATAATAATACGATTATAGAAACCATATAACGTTTTAGAAATCATAGACCAGGCTTTATTTGTATTACTGTATTTAGCGATTTTGTATTTTGAAATCTAGAATATTTTATTATATTATGATTTCTCGTTATAATCTAATATTATAACATATTTGGTAGTTGCAATAAGTAATAGATAAGCAAACCTTAATATCGTATCCTATATTATTTTTTAACTTATGATTATTACAGTTAAAAAAAAATTATTATTATTATATTTTATTTAAGAATAATATTCAAATGGGAAAACAAAAATAATACAATCTTTACTATTGCTATATTGTATTAAAAATAATAGTTTCCATAAAAAAAAATACAAACATAAAATATAATTTTATTTAAGCCAAATTATATACTTCAGATGTAAATTGTGACATTAAACACATTAAATAACAAAGATATGTAAATATTTTGATATTTCAGGTTTACCTATACAGTTTACATGGTATACACTACAGTGATATGAATGTGGTCACACCATTTTCTTCATTATATTAACGAAAGGTCTTTTATTCGAAAAGCTTTTTCATGGAATCCCTAAGGTATCGTATACGATCTGAGTTAGTATTAATGGGTAATGGGTATAGGTGGATTTAAGAGTGACAGTTGGCTTCTTATCTTAATAACATTAAATTAGTCTTTCTGATACGTAAGTAGACATAATTTTCAAATGTTCTTTATATGAGCAATTAATATGTGATAAAGCTCAAAATCAAAAGGCTATAATATTGCCTATATTAATAACATGTGAACAATATCATAAATCAGATTATCGGTAATACGAATACAAATTTCAATCGATATTTCAATGGCATCATATAGAGTCTGCCGTAAAGCTATTTCGTTATTTTTAACTACTGGTAACAAATTGTACTAGGTCGTATACATATATCCAGAAAAATGTATTAACCTTCCAATTGCATTAAAATATACTAGCATTCACTATTTAATTATCATGTTTCACTATGTGAAGTATTAAATCCCATTAAATTTTTTGAAATCATCATATCATATTATTTATATTTACACTTTAACATTTTAAACGCTAAAAAGTAAAATATAGTTAGAAACCAATAAAATATTAAATATACATACTAATTAATAAATAATAAAATGTATACGTCATATTTAGTAATAATTAAATGTTTTTTTTAATTTTTACGTGTACCTATAGATAAGTGATCGCTTATATAATTTTGTCGTTTGCCACACAATGTTAAAACACTTTTGAATATGCTCATAATAATTGAGCTTAGCATGACAAATTCAATTTCTAATATCTGTCCATGTTTGAAATGAAATAATATTATGTTCAAATATTGTCAACAAACAAAAATGGTATTGTGAAATGTATTATTTCATTTTTTCAAATACTATATAATTCAGTGTACACACTACACACGAAAGTTAAACTCGTAACTGTAAGAAATTAAAAAAAAAAAAACCAATTACCTTTATAATTTTCTAGCTAAATATTAGTACTGTTATATTATAATATATAATAACCAACGGTTTGGAAAACATTTTTGTTATTTCAATATATCCCAGAGTGATGCGTCTGCCGTGACCATAAAAATATTTCGAAATATTACCGTCGCTTTATTATTTGACCCCCGAAAAAACACGTATTTATCTCTGTGCAGTAGAAAAACAACACGAGAGGGTATATTTTTACAGCTCTGCCTCGAGTTTCTAATCCCTCAGCCCGTTTGTCCCAAACTACATTCATTATTCTGACACAATGTACGCCAACAAAAGCACCAAAAAACATACGGTTTTTCCCAAACGTCCACGTATACACCCACTGTTTTCCTTTCATTTATACAATGTGTTTAGGGTATTTTTTGGTTAGATCACGAATTCGAAATAAATAAAATTGTTAACACATAGAAAGAAAAAAATATATATGCATGTATAAACGACAGAATTATGCAAATTATATTTATGTATATACTTTATAATATAACGTATACTTTAATCCTAAAGAGAATTTAGTTATAAATCATTTGGTTTTGAGATTTAGACATTAAAAAAGGAAACCTGTACTTAAGTATGTTCTAAAACACACTGATGCACAGATAGAACAATACTATACACGATTGTATTGTTTTAATAATATTTGTTTTTGAAATTAACATTATTGAGTTGCTAAAAATGTGTGAATTCAATGGGAACAAATACAATTTAAATTAGGTGACAATGCAGGTTAGGATATAGGTTAAAAGTTTTATTTTATTTTCAATGTTGTATTTAATTTGTTTTGATCTAGTGTAATTAATCCAAAGTTAAAAAAAAAAAGTAAATGTAAATACTTTAATTCAAAATAAGCCAAGTAGTGAGACTTACAATTTTAGTATACACATTTTATATTAAGTATAAACATTAATGCAAAAAGTCATAAAGTATACATCATAATTATTTTTATAAGTACATTAAATAATAATACAGGTTTTCACAGAGTTTAAAACTAATTGTTGTAACCTAATCTTTTAAATGTTTTAAAAACTATCTACTGAAATCAACATTTTAAGTTGTAGACGATAAATTCTATATTAAATAATGTATATTTAAAGCT